AAAAACTGAACTAACCTGGGAAAAACGTAGAACATTAACTCTTTTAAAATCTTTTAAGAGGTCAGGTTTTAACAAGAGTACTCTGTTCAGGAAAAGCACCACCATGCTGCAGGCAGATGATAATCACTATGTTTTTTCCATGTTATTCATTAACCGTTTCACCTTGCTCTTTTCATTAACTTGAGCATGCACTGACATCCCAGCACTTGCTGTTCCAAATCATATACGATGTACTTCGCAAATCAGTGACCACTGCAGTGACAGTGTGCAGACTTTACAGCTTATGGCTTTTCTCCTCCCCCCCCTGGACCTGCTAATACATATCCTATGACCCTGATGTCCGCTTTCCTGTTTGAAAGTGTTAGCTCGGTATCCAACTCTTTTTCCCGATCCCAAGCACACCTTGCCTGTGGCCTTTAGCCCCTTTACAGAGAACAAGCAGAGGCTCCCTCACATCAGTATGAGGTCATGAGCCTTGTCTTGAGGTATCGCTCCTCCCATGGGTCACCTGCAGAAGCTGCTTCTCAGACCCCTCTTCCCTGGACAAATTTCTCATTCCCTTGTTTGAGAACTACGCCTTGACGGCGTCCATGCTTTTCTTTAAGTCACAACTCTTCCCTGCAACATGTGTCTTTACCCTGATGGAAGGATATATTTTTTCCTACCTGAGTTTTTTGGGATCACCCTTAGTCACTTTGGAAAAATCAGTACACTGCTTACACTGAAATATTGCTGTCACCCTTTCAAGGCTCTGAGACCCAAAGAAAGAAGTGTAGGTTTTTATTCAGCTTTCCCAACTACTCTGAAAATTCTGTTTTGCATTATTGCCAAATATGCATTAAACCACATTTATACACTTCCTAATTCACTAAGTGAGAGAGATGAATATACAATACACATCAAATAATGTGTCTCTGTCTTCCAACAAGCCCAGTGGCTGTTGGAACAGCACAGCCGCAAGCAGGCTGATCTGATACCTTTCCACCTTTGTCCTCTGAGACAGAAATAACACCTCCCAGCCAACTGGAAAATTCTGACGGACTCTGTAGAAATCTGTTTCACTGAACTTTTCCTTTTCTACCAGAGCTTTGCTTTGATTATTTTATTATTCTTTTTGTTCTGAAAACTATTGATTTCACACTATTTTTTGCATGGAACTTGACAAAATAAGTTAATTTCTTATTCCACTTTACCTAAGAAAAGGAAATACAAATCTTATTCATACCAGTTGTCTTTCCTGGCTCCTCACAGCAATGTCCGATTCAGCAAGTGGGGAGAATTCTGTGAATATGTAAAACTTAACCAGATGCAGAGATCAGAGAAATCATGCCAGTGGTCAGTTCTGATGGCCACGAAAATAAGCCATGGAGAACTGAAGCAAAAACCCATTGGGTTTTTTTTCCTTAATTCTTCCCTCTCTCACAAAGATCAACACATAAGCGACAACAAACAAGCTGAGTTACCTTTCTGTTTAAGGTGTAGTACGTCACTGACTCTGCATGCTTCCTACTTACTATTCAGTAAATCTTTCTAACCATAGCTGGACTTCAGATGCCCAGCAGATACTTTTTGTCCTATTAGCATTTATGCCTCAGGAACTGAGGTATATAAGGTAACCCATAATTTTGTACAGACAGTTCTGTCTGCAAAACTACAGAACCTGAAGAACAAAATTCAAAAGCAGGAAAGCTTCAAAACTGAAGTTGTGGGGTTTTTTAATTGTGCATGAAACCCTGTTAATCCTGTGAGAGTGGCTGCTACCAAAGCTGACTGACCTCCAGGAACGGATACTTCATTTCCTACAATGGTAGAAAGTATTTGGCTGAACCTAACTCCTTCATCTAACAAAGAAGCTAACATTCAGTTTGCAAGGCCCATTGTTACAAAGCTGTCACTTTCCTTGAGCTTCTCCGTGTCTTTTTGGAAAAAGCAGAACTGGTTTTGGGTATTTAAAGAGCCATACGTGTCTTTCCTGAAGACATTTCCCTCAAAGTCCAGGAGACCAAAACCAGTTTCCTGAAGATTCTTCTCTTAGTTTCTGTAAAAAGACTGTGGAAAGGGCACAGCATTTCATACCATTATGATTAACCCACGATGGATTTCAATTTCTGGCAATCAGTGAGAATGTAATTACATACCTTGATCCCTAATTATCTACTGGAACTATTGAGTTGGCTCATCCACTGCACATGGGGAGTGATTTCAGTGAACTAACACAGAAGTGACCTATTACCTCTGCAGAACAGCCAGAAAAGACTAACTGGGGGCTTGGTTCTGCAAAATACTAAGCAACCTTCATGGATTCCATTGGAGCCAACAGAGCCAAAGTTGGACAGATTTGGCCCAGGATAACTGTCTTGCTCCTACTTTATACATTGAGAAATTGAATCACAATCAGGCAAAGTGACTGGCAAACATGCAAAATCCATATCAAATGTGGGACTATCCTCCAGCCCTTGATTGCCAGAGTCTCCTCTAGTCTACTAAACCACAGCTATTGTATTATTTAAGTGAATAGAATCCCTTTCCCATGCTTGTCAGTAAGAGATCCT